CCTGCGCACCGTGCTGTCCAAGCACAACCGGCTCGGCGGGCCCGGCGCGCTGCCCAAGGGCCTGGCCCAGTCGCCGCTGTGTCGCAGCCTCCAGGTGCTCAACCTCAGCGGCAACTGCTTCCAGGATGTGCCCGCCTCGCTGCTGGAGCTGCGCGCGCTGCAGACCCTCAGCCTGGGCGGCAACCAGCTGCAGAGCATCCCGGCCGAAATCGAGAACTTGCAAAGGTGAGTGGGTCTGTGCCGGAGGGCAGGGAGGCCTGGGGCGATGTCTGGAAGCCCCTCGCGTCTACTACCTAACTGCCTTCTTCCAGACTCTCTCTTTAACAAAGCCTTGGTGCTGAGTACTGTCTGGTCACCTCAGTGAAATGGCAAGCTCTAGTAAGATTGCGTGTATGACAGCGTTTGGTGTATCGTGTTGGGCCTAGGCAGATTTTCAAGTCAGTTTTTTTCTCTTTCTTGGGTCTGAGGAGTGATCCTAAATGAACAGGCACTCAAATGGGTAAATCTGAGGTCAATCCCGTGCTCAGAAGTCTTTGGTGCTTTTGCCTACAGATGAGAACGCATATCTTTCAGCACAAGTGCTCCACCTGACCCTACTGCATTTCCAGCAAATCTTCTCTGTAGCAGTGCCAACCATGCCCTTTGTGGAGTTAGGTGAGCCGTGCACTTCCCAGCATGTAGGGAGAGTAGCTTGTCAGGTCCTGGCATCTGTATGACTCACTAAGTATGCGCTGAATGGATGCAGTGCCTCTGTTGGGTGATGGTCTCCTTGCCTGGAATGTTTCCTTCTCCCAAACTCCTATATGTCCTTCAGTACTTTTCTCAAGGATCATTTTTGTGATTTCTTTCTTACTGCTCCCTACACAGTTCATTATCGCCCAGATTGTACTTACTTCATATCTTATTTAATCCTGCAGTTGCATTAACTTGATTGAATATAATTCTTTGTCTATAGGAATTATCTGCCACACCGTCTAGATTATTAAGTAAATGTATGTTGAATTTAATGGAAGGGGGAAGCAGAGAAGTAGGATAATAAAAATGTCCTGGAGGTATCCTGTAGGAGAGTTAGATATAGAGCAAGAACAAATCAAATTTATTGCCCCAAGTACGAAGAAATACCATTTACCTGTAAAATATTTTCACATCCTTTATTGAATTCTCAGAAATAACAGAATGTTAGCCCTGGAAGGGACTGCAGAGTTAAATGTGCTGAAAAGAACTTTGGCCAGGGAATAAGAACTCTTTTCCCAGCCTTGGGCAAGACTTTTAACATATCCTAACGAAACGTTCCTGACCTGTGAAATGAGGCATTTGGACAAGATGTTCCTGCACTTACTCAGCAGATCTCTCCTGAGTACCTATCAGGGCTACGCACTGTCTAGGTATTGGGGACAGCATAGTGAACATGTTCCTGCCCTCATACTAGCAGAGGGGAACATTAGACAACTAACTGTAAACTTATTATTTAATTATGATTGTACATTTTATGAACATGTACAGCGTGTCTAGAGGTAAAGTAACAGAGGGCCCTGACTTATTGTGGGTTTTGTGCGAGTGATATTTGAATTAGCTTTCAAAGGAAGAATAAGAATTAACCTGGTGTCAGTCCAGGTAGCAGGAATAGTGCATGTGAAAGCTCAGAGGCGAGGAGAGGAACTCCTTGAGTAACAGAGAAGTGGCCATTATTTTTTTAATTACCTTTTATTTTTTAAAATAATTATTTAATTTTATTATTATTATTATTACTTAATTTGCTATATGGCACATGTGCTCACCAGAGAGAGAAAGAGGGAAAGTGAGAAAGCAAGCCACCAGTTCTGGAACTCGAACTGTAGTCAGCCATGTGGGAGTCCAGCACCTCAACTACCACACCACCTGCTGGCCTTGAGTTACCATTAAGTGGTTGAGTTCAGGCATGGCGGATTGAAAAACATGCATGCGTGTGCGTAAATGCCCAAAATCTTGAAAGGAGGGAGAAATAGAGGATAGGAGATTGTGGCATGACCATTCCCCATGGGGATGGTTTCTCTTTCCTTATCACTCTCCTCCTTTGGCAAGTTCATGCGCTCTCTGGCAAATTAAAAAAAAAATATCGCAGGCCTGGTTTCTCCTAAATGTAATGTTTCTTAATTCCAACTTTCTCATTTAAATGTACTAAGAGGAATTGAGGGCAAGTGTTATTTCCATTATATAGGGGGGGAAAGGTAGGCAAAAATCCCCTTTATTGAATACTTAAACAATGCTATATGCCTAGTCATAGTTACTCTAATTTTTTTTTCTCATAATGATTCTATGAGGTAGTGAACTCTCCCTTTTCAGAAGAAGAAACAGGCTTGGTGAAATTAAGTCACAAGATCATAAAGCCATTGTTTTAGTATGTTCTCTGTAGTCTAATAACTGAATACATGGAGTGAGTAATTTAAAGGAATAAAGGCTTATTCAGCTCACAGTTGGGGGGGCAAGGTCAAGGGGTCATATCTGCTGAAGTTCTTGCTGGTATGGACTCTGTAAAGCCCTAAGGGAGTATAGAGCATCACATGGGGAGATGGCAAGAGCATGTATGTCTGTGTTCATGCTCTTGTCTGTGCCTTTTTGTCTAATTTCCTCTTATAAACCCACCTGGATTGGGACCAGCAGTTAGCGTAATGGCTGTGTCACTGGACTCCCATGTAGTCGACTGCGGTTCGAGTTCCGGACCCGGTGGCTTAAACTCACGCTGGGCACTTGTGCGTGCGTGCCCAAGATCCCGAGAGGAGAATGGAGGAGAAGGGATTGTGGCGTGGCCATCCCCCCTGGGGGGTGATTTCTCGCTTTCTGTCTCTCTGTTTCTCTCTGTCTGTCTGGCAAGCGCATGCGCCCTATAGCAAAAACCTCTCAAAAAAAAAACCCACCTGGATTAGTCTTTGGGGCCCCTCCCAAAGTCTCCATCTCTTAATCCCATATTTGGATTAAATTTCTACCCTCTTAATACCTTGACAGTACAACTAATTTTCAGCACATGAATTTGCAGAGGACACATCTAACCATACTAGCTAGTAAGTGGGTGGAACTGAATTTGATCTCTAGGGTCATTGACTTCAAACACATGAATTTTCCAAGGTAGTAGAGTAGGGCTAGAACCTGAATCTTTGGACTTATGTTCTGACTCAATGTAATTAGGAGGATTGGTCAGAATCATTCACCTGGTTAATCTGATTTTCTGGGCTAATAATTGTGCCATCATATTATTTAATGCCTTTGGCTTTGGTAATATATGTAATCTTTTACACTGGCGTTTTCATTTTTCAGTTGTGTGCTCTATTGTACTTTACTTATCAGAATTAATAAAGGTCTAAGTCATGCTTCAAATAGAAACTCAGACTGAGTGTAGACTAAAAGGGTCATGTAGAATTATACCCTTAGAGGAAGAGAAGAGCCCGTCCTAGCAGTGTCCCGATTAATACTCTACAGTTGAAGAAAAGTTTCTTATCATTGAGTTGCTTCAGGACACATAATGACTGAGAGAATTACATGGTTCAGCCCTCAAAGCTGCTGACTACTCACTATTAAAATAATGTGTTGAAACTTTAAAACTGCAGAGGTGAAGGTTTAGTCACTTAAATCCTAAGACATCCATCCAGAAATACCACTTTTCTTGGAATATATCTGGATTCTCTAGACCTTCTTGATAACCTTGATGTGCACTATGTCCTGCTGCTTTTAAAGCCGGTACTAATGTTATTGTACATTAAGCATCTGCCCTCTTTAAGAGCAATTTAAAAACTAGTGCAGAATATACAGCATTCATGTGTATTCTCTCTTCATTATGCCAGGAAAGAATAACAACTGTTTTTTTAAAGAATTATTTATTTCATTTTGTTTATTATTATTATTTAATTTGACCAGAGAGAGAGAGAAAGGGAAAGTGAAAAAGCAAGCTGCCAGGTCCGGAAGCCAAACTGTGGGCGGCCATGTGGCAATTCCATGCCTTAGCCACCACACCACTTGCCAGCTCCAACAAACACTCTTGGCTTAATTGGTGTCAGTTGACCTCTCCAGACTTAAGGAGTCTTTTTTCTTTTCCATGCTGATCCTTTCCCTAGTGGCAAAAAAATAAAAAAATTCTAAATTGCTGCAAGGCAAGTACACTCACCAGAGAGAGAGAGAGAGAGAAAGAGAAAGAGAGAAAGCGAGAAAGCACCCCTGACTGTGGGCTGATCATACGACAGTCCTTTTACCTCTATTTCTCCATCCTGTCAGGGTCCTGGGTATGCACACATGCCCAGTGTGGTTTCAACTGCCAGGGCTGGGCTTCATACAGTTGTCAGACACATGGGATATGTCTCTCAATGTACAGCCCAAACTTGTCTTGTACAAAATTTTCTGAACAAGTAGGTAATGAAAATCTTATTTATGATTAACCCAATTCCTTTGGAGTGAATTAGGCTATTAGTATGAACCATAGGTTATAGATATAATTTCCAAGAAAATGTGAAGTTTTTTCCTTGAAATAAGTATAACTGAGTAGTACATATGCAAACTTGTTTTTGTTTTATAATGCAGAATAAGTAGGTATAATTTGTATTTTGACCTGTATCTTCTGAACTCTTACCTTTTATTCTGCTCAGTTGGCTGAGACTTGAATTGAGGAAGAGCTGAATAATTTATCATTCAATGGATGATAGCCCTTAACAGCCACTCCTCACCTAACCTACTTGTCTAATAGCTTAGACAAAGGACCAGTTCTCCAGCAGGAGGAATCCCTTTTCTCAGATTGTGAGTCTTGGGATCTGCTTTTTCAGTTTTGTCATGTTCCCACAGTCGGTTAGTATTCATTACAGGAAATATTCACAATCACATAAGACTACATCTCATGCAAGACTATGTATTTCATTTATAAATTTGTATTTTATTGTGCACCCATAATGATATTGAGAATAAGTAACTGATTATGCTGGATTTATATTGTGTTGTGTGTCTTGTCACTTTCTGGCACTTATCTATGTATGCTTTTTGGGCGGATAGAATTAATGTTCTAGTGTTACTGTGTGTTATCTATTGAAAAATACATATCCTAAGGTACCACTACACATCACAAGACATCCACCTTTAAGATCCTCACTTATTGACCAATTTGCTTAACCAGTCAGCCAACTTAGCCTTGGAATGGAACTTGGTAGTTAAGTGAGGAGTGCCTGTATTTAAATAAGCAACAGCTTCAGGATTGCTTTACATCTAGGAGG